ATGACGATATTTGCCCAGCCAAGGGAAACCAGAACAATGCACGTGGGAGATACGTGTTCATGTGTCCAGATGCATTCACCGGGTTTAGACTGTAAGTCATATATGTCATACATCTCAACTCCTGAGGTCTGTCCTCTCTTCCCCCTTTCCCATCTCCCTGCAGGAAATCTCTTATGGAGCTTCTGCAGGTAGGACACCTGTTTCCATGGGGACTGCTGTATTTTAGACCGGCTAGACACGTGTACGTAAGACACATCGCGCAGCTCGAAAATAATAAAGTTTCCCACTTTGAGCTATTGACGCGTAATGATTTATCCGAAGGTCGACTAATTGTATCGCGGCTATTCAATGGCCTACTACCTCTTTGAAAGCATCAATTGAGAGTTTCAATTGCTCATACAGAGTGGATCAAATGGCACAAGGTCAAGCCGTTGCGAGAGAAACACAAAACGCAGATAGTGTCACAGGAAAATCCATTTAAGGCTAAGCAATATCCATCTTTTTTATAACATCTGTATATAAAGTGGATGCATTCTGGACTCACATATGAGAGTTTTATATAAGTATGCATGTGTACATGAAACCAATGCTGCACTGTGCAGTAAGGACACAGCTTGCCAATGTTGGAGAACTGTTTTCTGCAAAAAGCAGTTTTTACTAAAAGTCAAGTTTAGAGAACCTCTAAGGGACAAACATGTTATGCAATGAATGCATTTGCGTTTTTCCAATGTTATTAGCTTGGGAAAAGGAATATCTAGATTGAAGGATGATCAGATTGGAGGTTACGGTGCAGAACATAAAGTAATGCAGCTAATCAAAAGTTCAATCCCCTCTTGGTTTTAGTGTAAAAGTGAATGAATACTGCCACCCAGTGCAAGAAACACGTTTTACAAACGGTGTGTGACTCGTGTGCAGAGCTGCGCCATTTACACTATTACAACATTATGTGTATGTGAAGAAAAGGGTTAATTGACGAAGTAAGCCACTTCAGGCGGCAGGATATTCTGTTAATAGCCCTAAACTTTGAAGGGGCTTTTTCCGCTTAGCACGGCATAATGGAGGGTTTGAACAGGTTTCACTTGGTCTTTAAACGACAAAACCGGATTAGCAGTTAACGCCTCCTTCTTCCCGAGTCAGTGACTTTCTAGGCTGCAGTGAGTCACTAATTGCAGGCAACCATCGGGAGTTACACCGAGGGGGCAGGAGGGCTTCACAATCTATTCAGCACGATACAAATGGAAGCAGAGACAGAATGGACAAAGCTTGCGCCTTACTCCATGGTGACAAACTACATTTCAAAGGGCAAATGTCAAAACAACAATAAAGCTAAATTTGACAACAAAACAAAAATTACATTCCAGATATCCACAAAGGCTTCGTCAATCCTTCAACAATTTCGAATTGCTTTAAGATGGCGTGCAACAGCTTAGTTTTGTATCAAATCCTGGTTAAGATTGAATTTAGTCCTTTGTCCAGTAAAGGAAATGTAAATCTCAACCACTACATAAACGCCATTCATCAATAAAATGAGCAAATACATTTGAGCCTAAATGATTGGCACTAGAAATGTTGGCAGACACTAGGTGCAGCTCTCTGTGTGCTGCTGTGGTACTCTGGACTAGCAAACCCTTGTGACCTCATCATTTATGACACAGTCAATATAGATCTCTGCAATAGTACATCACCTGACTGAGATATTTGACTTTAAACCGCAGGTAGAAACTTTAAACCAAAGGCCCTGCGTAAGCAAACCTGTTTGATCATTTATGAAATGACGGCTCTGAGATTAGACGGAGGGAGGGAGAACATCTGACGTGTAGAGAAACATCTTGAAACTATTGGCGGAGAGGAGTTGTTATCACAAAGGTCCCTTGACTTTACTCATTTTTCAAAACCTCCTCCAGGGAGTGATGTTTTCACACTGATGACTCACCAAGACGGACGCTAATTATGAACGGAGGGGCAATCTGCTCAGTTCAACACACAAGAATGTTGGATAATTAGTTATTTTTTTTGCTTTGACTATTGATATTCATAGGACAAATGTTACGAAAGCAATTTCATTAAATCATTATTTATGAGACTTATTTCTTGTATTGCTGAGGGATGAAATGATCCCAGCTTGTGTCAATAGAAATCCATTATCTATAGAAATCTCCGTGCCTGCGGATAAAGGGCAGATAGACTCTGTGTGCATGAACATCCGCACTCAACCATCCGCAACCAAGTTTAAGGTCTGCTGTGACCTACCCAATGCATACACATCATTTGCAGAGTGGCATGACTTATGGGGTACTCTACATAAAGTGGCATCTTTCTCTGCCAGTTGAGGCCACAGGAAGCTCCCTGTGGCTTCTGAGTGCAGCCTGACATTTTAGCAGGATGAGAGAGATGGAAGAACAGGACGACAGAAAGCAGCTGCTGCTCTTTGCCGGATCAAGAAAGAGTCTCCACTCGCTGTGACGGCGAGCCAGCGTCCAAGATCAAAAGATGCTTTGATAATACTTAACACTTCATGAAAATGAAAAAATCCAACAAAAAGAAGCTGGCTTTAGGGAATTGTTCCAACCGTCCATTGTGTCAACTACCATAAAAGGGGTGTACATTCCTGGGCAACAAGAAATTGATCAAAATTCCAGAGCTCCGATATAAGAAATGTATTCATTCACCTAAACGTGTTATTTACAGGTGGAACCAATCACAACGCACACTGGTCAAGAGACACAAATTGATGGCCAACAATTTTGTAATTGATTTCTCCTGCGTGTCTTTGGATTCTGAGAGTAAAGCACCTGGAGAACATTTTGGTCAAGAAGTGATCAAATGGGCCAACTCGTATTAAACAGAGCCCCAACCCAGCTCGATAGAATCATTTTGCTGATTTACTGGTGCCATTTGCTGCTTAGATAAGTATAGATGCTTCAAATACACCATTGTGTCTCGTTACAAAATGCGGCAATATCCCCATCGACAAGATACAGCATGAAAATAATAATTAGAAAGGAGTAATAGTGACATCGGGCAGCACGGTGGCGTGGTGGTTAGCACTGTTGCCTCACAGCAAGAAGGTCCTGGGTTCGATTCCGCCCAGTGGCCTTTCTGTGTGGAGTCTGCATGTTCTCCCCGTGTCTGCGTGGGTTCTCTCCGGGTTCTCCGGCTTCCTCCCACAGTCCAAAGACATGCTCTGGGGATCAGGTTGATTGGGGACTTTAAATTGCCTGTAGTTGTGTGAATGTGAGTGTGAATGGTTGTGTGTCTCTGTGTTGCCCTGCGATTGGCTGGCGACCAATCCAGGGTGTACCCTGTCTATCCAGCCCGAAGTTGGCTGGGATGGACTCCAGCCCCCCCGCGACCCTGTGTGCAGGATAAGCGGTTTGACAATGGATGGATGGATGGATGGAGTTATAGTGACATGTTGATGTGTATGAGTAAATAGTAGCTTGGAAAAGGGAGTTAAATCCAAATTTGACTTTTTTGTGCTCCCGTATAATGAATGATGATGAAACATTGAAGAGAATGTTATTTAGTTTACTTTATACCCTCTATACAAACCCTTTGGCTAATTTTAAATGTTATTGGATTGCCACCTGCACATTGGTCAAATATATATTGTATACATTGCAGGATATTTGAGTATTAAACCACCAAGGAAAATACATTTGAATGTGTGAAAGGTCACAGTCTGTATTTTTATACAGCATCTAATTTTTGTTATAAATGAAGAGATTTTTCACTGTTACAATTTTGGCCTTAATTTGTACATTGGTGAGTACGTTATTTGGAGCAATACGCCTGCCATGACATAGTTGCATCACACACTTAGGTCTACTTATAGACAGAAACACTGGGGAAATACACTTTGGTTCACAGGAAAAACACAAGGGGCAGACTGAGCCCTTAAGCAGGATAATGTAACCTGGGCCCAGATAAAATAACTACAGATGTATTATGATGCCTGGATAAAAAGAAATCTAATTATTTTAAAAGTACAACAAATTTCACCCCTCCAAAAAAATAAAAAATGCGGAAAACATTACACAATTATATTTTCCAGGCAGGAGGGTTTGCTGCTAATTGATTCAATACACACAGTGCAACAACTCTAGAATTATGCATTAACCAGCATCCGACAAGCAGCAGGCAGACAGAGATACAGTATCTGGAGGGATCGAGCCAGTGGTGTTGCGCTGTGCCACCATCAGATGGCAGTCAAATGGAATCACCTCAACTGCAATAGATCTTAGCCCATCATAGTGACACATTCCACCCCCAATCAATCACCCAATTGTGGTTATTTTCTTGAAGTTACAATAATTACGAGGTTTCTAAGAAGAAATTAGTCAGTGGTAGAATCTTGGTGCTGTTGGATGAAATGCTTTTCCAATATTCGTCCAGGTTTCACGCAACAGTAATTATGATTAGATTTGTTTGTAATGTTAATAGATTTAGACCTAAAATGAATGAAGGCTACAACAGCCTGGCAATAGACCCCCACGAAGGTTGGTTACATTTTCATTTAGACACGATTTGATTCTTTTTTTGGCTGTAGTTGAGAAAAAAAGAATGGCTGTAGTTCGTGGTTTTGTTCATGATATGATGGATAGAGAAGATATATTCATGTATATATTTTTTTCAATTTCTTTAATTGTCGAAAGGTCTATTTATTAAATTAATAACGTATTTTTTTCAAATTACTATCCATAAATCATATATAAATCATATATATATATATATATATATATATATTCTAATACATCATTATTATATATTGATCATATATACTCAGTATCATTATATAATAATAGTACATAATAAAATATCTCTCTCTCTCTCTCCCTCTCTCTCTCTCTCTCTCTCTCTCTCTCTCTCTCTCTCTCTATATATATATATATATAGTATATAAGCAATATATATTATTGTTGTGGCGCACGCCATCTGGACCGTCATCACGTCTGTGCTTGTCATTCAAACTTCTACCACTGCGCGGCGCTGAAGCGGCGTCATCGTTGAATATTGACGACATGCAGCGAAGTCCAACGAAGAAGACTGACACCCCTTCGGATTCAGTCAGGGCTTGGAGTTAAAACCGGGCTGCATATTTCGCTCACTGGGGGTAAACAAGGTAAGCAAAGAAGTATATGTCTCCCTCTCCCTGATACAACCGTCTTTATAAAACTAGATCGTTGTAATTCGCGTTGCTAAGTATGCGAGCCAACAACTTTTTTCTGCTTGACTTGACTGACATTAGTAGCAGAAAACCGACTGCGGCTAACGTTAGCTTAGCCTGTCAAATACCCCTAACCAGGGCAACTTATCGGTAGCTGCTGACAGTTGTCATCGTAGCCTCTCTGCGCCGGTCCTCACGTTATAACAGTGTAACGCTAGTTGTCATTAAACGTCGGTCGTGTTGAATGTGTGTCAGACTTCACTACTCGAAGCATCCAGACAATAAAAGCCTCTTCATGTGATATTACTGCGGCGACGTACGACATGCTAAATGCTTAATGTTTAATGTTATCACGCGGTCATATGTGGAGGAAATGATGTTATTGCGATCACGCCAACCTCGCGTTTCCCCTCCTGCCCCTCGGGTCCCAGCTGTGTGTCGGCGCCACAACATGACCGGAAGCATCTCGCAGCTCGCAGGTCAGCAGCGTCAGACCGGACAGTAACGTCACAGCTGCGCTCGCATGTCGGGGAGACAACTAGAGAAATCCAGGAGGACTGGAGCCAGCGGTTCCCCTGACAGGGCGGTCCAGATCTCTCCCCGCCCCCCCCCCCTCTCTCTCCCTCTCTCTCCATCTTTTCTCTCCACTTGAGACAAATGGTTTTGAGTCATGGATCAAGGTATCGTGGACAGTTCTGTTACCCTTGTCATCAGGGCACCCAACCAGAAGTACAGCGACCACACCATCAACTGTTGCCATAACTGGACTGTGGAGAAACTCAAAGCGCACATCTCCGATGTGTACCCAAGCAAACCAGTGAGTAGTGCCCCCTCTTTTGCCCCGGCCCACTGGGACGATGCGTGATTGACGACGGGCGTGCACCTCCTCGCCGCCCTTCAGTCCTTTTTCTTCATTTGAGTCAGCTGATCGCCGTTGTTGTCTCACCAAAAAGGGCTCAACCTGTGTTGTTGTTGTTGTTTCACCTGTACGGTGTAGTGGGGCACAGAAACGTAAAGTGAGCAAGAGACGGGTTACATAACGTCAGAAACAAACTGTTACCACGAGTTACTCGCCTGCTGGGTCCCTCCCCTCATGTGATGTGTACGATGTCTGTGGAATTTACCCCCAAGAAGTGGTTGCGTCAGATAAGAAATTACAAATACCTGTTGTTGAAAATCCACTCGGATGGAAGGTGTCAAGGAAATGGGTTTGCCGGTTATTGTAGAATATAGCCGTCGTTGTGTAACAACACACGGGGACAAACGGCTCCCTTAAAACTGCAAACATTGACTTTGGCGTATTTCACAAGGAGGCATCTTGGAGGATTTGAAAAAAAGCCGTTTAAACTCCTGAACGGTCGTACAGTGAATGCAGCTTTCAAAGAGGACACACTGACATTGCTGCACTTCCAGGTTAATCCTCTTATTCTTATTGAGGTTACTACTAGTCTTATCCTTCTTACTCACAGTGTCTCCTATTGATGTCGTAATCTACATTTCACAGTTTGCCGTTTTCATGCTCATTGTTGTTGTCAATATTAACTAGAAAAGTTTAAGAAAACCATATTGTATTCCGTGACCAGATTATCCGTACACTTTTGGATTTCCAGAGCTCCAAAGACCAGAGGCTGGTGTATTCTGGGAAGCTGCTTTTGGATCACTTTACCCTAAAAGATGTGCTCAGAAAGGTAAGTTCTCTCTGTGATCAATTTCATATTTATTAGACTGATGCAAGTTTACTGGTGGCAGCAGTCTGCCAAAGCTCCTGTCCTGCTTAAACCAAACAAAGGCCTCCCCCCGTGCACAAAGCAAGGTTTTATAAAGACGTTTTCCTCCGTTCTGACTGTGACCTCTGCCCCATGTGACTGTGAGCCGGCCCTTTCCAGCCAGCATCACTGACCTCATGGTTTACGTCTTTCCTCGACCCTGCAGAAAGGTCGAGGAAAGCCTTCCCAAGAGTGGAGGCAATCCAGTAAAGATGGTACCAAGTATAAGGTTATCAAACTAATGCATTGTCCTACAAAATTGTGATATTTTAATAATAAATCAACTACACATACTCCAATTATGGATATTGGACAGATAACATCTAAACAGCTCTTCTTTTTGACTTGAAACTCAGTCCCTAATGACACCAAATGAAGCACCGTACAGCCATTTAGTTGACAAGTTTTATTTTCCTTGAACATGCGAGGCTGTGGTTTACTAATGAGCCGTGTTTGCTTCTGCAGCAGGACGAGTACCACATGCTCCATCTGGTGTGCGCCGCCCGAACCCCTCCCACCTCCCCGAAGCCCCTCCGCAGCCACAGCAACAAGCCCCAGGAGGGCTCGGCCGGTCCCCCGGTGGGTCACCCGCGTGCTCCTCGCACCTTTCCGTTAATTTCATCATCAGCGCATTTCTTTCATCATCCAGCTCACTGCTGTGATCTACACCTCCTTGAGGATTAACAAAAATGTCTGGCCTTTCTTTTAAGATGAGGCATAAACTTGGGGCTCGTTTTTCTGGTTTCAGCCCCTTCTGAATCCTGCCGGTCCGACCACTGGTCAACACGGCCCTCCAGCAGAGAGCAGTGATGGACTCCGACAGCGAACCGGACCCTTCCCGTACCACCAGATGTATCCACAATTTATGCAAAGGTGAGCTCACTGCAGGAAATGAAGACTTTTAGGGAAGACTGAACCGTTTACAGGGATATTTTGACGAGCGTTGCCGCTCTCTCCGAGAAAAGTCCTGGAATGTCTGAATTATGTCATAAAGAAGATTAATATCCAATACACGTCTACGGAATTATGTAGCAAATTGTACCGTGTCACATGTTAGCAAAGAGCTGCAGTAACACAGAGCAGCTATTGTTTTGAAATATAATTACTTTAGGTTATTTTCCAGTGCAAAGTTGTTTCTTCTGTACGTTTCAGCCGTTTGGGTTCAGGTTAAGTTACAATTAGGCTTGTTTCTTGTCTGTATAATTAACTTGGCTGTTAGTTGATGCAATAGCCGTTAATATATCATCAATCTAATGTTTCTACAATAAAAGATAAAGGTCAGGTGTAACAAGTGAAATGTTTTTGTCTCCATTTCCAGCTGGGATCAGTACTCCTCGCCATCAATTCCTCCCACTAACATGCCCACTCATGTCAACCCCATGACGCTGATGTGGTGGCAGCAGTTGTACGCCCGCCAGTACTACATGCACTAGTAGGTCTCTTTAGGTTTCGGAGTGTTTACGGACCCCCTGTTCAATCAAAAGTAACCCCCCCTCCTCTCTCTAGTCAGTTACTGGCTGCCTCCTCTCAACATCTCAGGCCGGACCAGCCCGCCGCTCACTCCAACCAGCCCGACCCTCTGAGCCAGCGGCCTCAGGCAGATCGCCGCGGCAACCCCGAAGTCCAGATGAACGCCCAGGGCGGCGAGATCATGAACGAGGAGGAGCAGCACCGGGATTGGCTGGACTGGGTGTACACGTTCTCACGTGCTGGGGTCCTACTCAGCATAGTGTACTTCTACTCCTCCTTCAGCCGCTTCGTCATGGTGATGATGGCCATGGTAGTGCTTTACCTGTGAGTGTCCCTTAGTGATGCGCTGATTACGTTGTATGTGGTCACGCCGTCCACCTCCCATAAATGACTCCTGACTTAATTCATAATTGACGGTACGTCATAATTATCACAGACCTCCCATTCGGCGCAAAGTTATAATTCACGACAAATGGATCAGACACCGACTGTTATTGACGGGAGGTAAAACGTTTGTAATGTCAGTTGTCTTTTTCCGTCTGCAGGCATCAGACCGGCTGGTTTCCCTTCAACCTGGAGAATGAGCTGCAGCTTCCGGGAGACCGAGACCATCAGGACGACTTGGAGGGAGAGCTGCAGAACCAGGACCTGCAGGAAATGGTGGCTGCCTCTTGTCTGTAGAAGGAACATTTGATCTATAGATTATACGTGCAGTGCAAGTCGGTCACTATTATGCCAGCTTCCAGATATTCACAAGATTTTACAAAAAAAGTTGAAATTTGCAAGATGAAGTACTTTCATCATGGAATGTGATGGTCATTGACTCCTTTGCAGTAGTTTTATTTGTGTGTGTGTATAATATATATATATATATATAATTAGTCTGGATTGGATAGACATTGAGAGTAGCTTAGTATTATTTATATCATTTTACAGAGAAGCATGTTTAAAATAGTGCAGCATAAGTCAGTGTTAAACCTGCCGCAGCTCGCCTGATGCTTTGCTCATAAGTCGTTTTCTTGCCCTGCAGGAAGGAGTGATGGACGACGGCTCGGACGACGATGGGGAAAGCGGGGAGGAAGGAGCGGAGGATCCTAACAGCGCCCCCAACGCGGGCTTCCTGTCCTCCACGTGGTCGTTCATCATAACTTTCTTCATGTCTCTCATCCCGGAGGGGCCGCCAAACGCTGCTAACTGAACCACGAGCCGCTTCGGCTCTCCACAAGGGCACTTTCTTACTGCGAGGGGAGGCCGAGCATCCTGCCTGCTTAGGAAACCAGTTTATGTTCAGTACAATGTTATAGTTAGTACGATAGTACTTTATTACATATCCAAGACTTTGAGCCAAAACATAAATGACTGATTTGACGTGAACGGAGGAAAAACGGTCAGAACATTTTGAACTTTCAAATGATCTTAACTTCTGTACAGGTTTGCTAGTGATGCCTTGTAAACATAGTTCCAATGCCAGTAGTCTCTGTAAATGCATTGTTTCTGCATTAATAAAATAGGGACAACAGGCACATTTATGAAGATAAACATTGTTTTTCCTTTGTGTGAAGGTGAAATATTTTTTTTAATGGTGGTTATATCCAAATAAGATATTTTCGTTTAGAAAAAGGGCCACTTTAGTCCAAAAGCAAAACTCCTGAGAAGTGACAAGAGTCCTGTAGCGCCTGTGATGGATAACATGAGTGACGAAGTTCATAAAAATGTGTACTGACTCGCTTGCACTCAGCTACAGAAAGACCGAAGCAGATATTTACTTAACCGTTAACCTATAGCTCCGCTGTGAGAAGCTGTGGCAGCACGGGGGTTATCGTTTTAAGCTTCCTACTCTACAAGGTGTGCGTAACCAAGCACAGGTGTATTTAATGACATGATAGCTGCGGTGTCCTTCGGGGAAGCCGAATAGCTCGACAGACGATCGTAATGTAATTTCCCTGCTGTGTTTTTCTGACTGTTAAATGTCTGCTGTGAATAAAAGGTCCATCAGCTCCCTCTAATTGTTGTTGTTCGCTAAGACAGTGAAGGAGATGTCGAACGCGGTCCGTGGCCTTCACGCCCACACAGGCCTGAGAGGTCCAATTAGTCAAATCCCCCATCACCGGTCGTCACCACGGTAACACACACAGCTGTGGGATGTCCAGAGTGGTGGATTGAGATATCGCCACAGAATTACATTACCTTTGCTTTTGTTTTGCTAGAAATATATATTTTTTTACATTTGACCGGCTGCCAATTAAAAAAAGTCCAACCTGAGGTGCGAGACAGATCTCTGTTGCCATCTTTAGTCTTAATGATGAAAACGTTACCAGTGGGACATTCAAGAACCTCCCTATGAAAGGCATTTTTCATGTAGACTGCTTCGGAGTGGGTATTTAAGAACTGTAACTACGTGTTATTTGTGGGACATTTTAGTTGAAAAATAAATTTAATTAGTCCTCAACCAATGCAACTTCAAAAATAGCTTTTCTGTATATGCAGTTTTTACTCATTTGCAAACATCTTTTACTTAATCATGCACAATACTACCTTTGAGACAGATATGATTCTGTGTTGAACACACCCAGCTTAATTCAACTATTGTCAGTGTATTTAGGCATGTTTAAGCATTAGTTTGTGTATCTATGTGGAGCACAGCGTGTATTGTGTGAAGCAGCAGCATGAAGCCTGAGACAAAGTTTCCTTTAGGACAATAGAGTACATCTTCTATAGCTACATTAGACTAAACAATGAAACATCTGCCTGAGGAATGGGTCCTGCCATAGTTCTGATTTACAGTACGTTATACCTGTAATGTACAGGTATAAAGTACTTCTAGACAGATATGCGTTTTCACCCAGTGTGATGGGAGTCTAGTCTGAAAGACAGACCCAGGATTGAAGTGCGCACATCAACACTTGAGGAAAAAAAGAATCACTTAAAAAAAACAACGTTTCCATGTATTTATTTTATTGCTTTGCGCCGGTCAGTCAGGACAGAGGATGCATCATTCAATCTCACAACAGGATACCAGGTGGTTTGCTGATGTTGTGCATCTGTACAAATGCATTTTTACAAAGTGATGATTGAGTGTAAAATCTCCACATCTATGCCGTTGACGTAGATGATTCACCTCTGAGTTTATTGTTCAATGTTGAAACCAAGGTCGTGTGAAAATAGGTTATTCTTATCAAAATAAACATTGGTAAATGTGTGGATTCTACCGATCGACAGCTCACATTTTTTATATCAGTGTGTAAGAATAACTTGCCCAATACTTGTGACTGAATTTAAATTGAAGCTTATTTTGGAAAATAAAGAGGTTTTGGTCAAATTTCACCGACTTTGACGATAGAAAAGAAAGTGTGCCATTCACTGACCGTTCCAAGAATAAAAGAAAAAAAAAGTACCTCAATATCGTTTTAAATAGATATGAAATGTGATTAAACGCTAGAGCAGCGCCAGGGCAACAAAGACACAGAAACAGTATCAGCAGTAACATTTGCAAATAGAAGATACATCGAGTTACATCGTTTGAGTCGGTGGCTCTGGCTACCACTTTCACACGGATGTGGAGCAACTCGGCGACAGACTCACTGCTGGAGATGAATACGGCCCGTCTTTGGCATGTGGGTGCCATCAGGTCTGTGCCGGTACAGCTGTTCTAAACACAAACAATCAGTGCGAGACTTAACACACGAAGCGTTTCGACAAGGCACGTAGCTTTTGTCCGTTTAGAAGCTGTAGCTGCACACAGAGCTGCTGAAAACACACAAAAAACTATTGCACCAATCATTCTTTGCCTGAATATTAGCCAGGTTTGTGAGTCCATACGTTGCACAGTATGGAATAGTTATTGCTAAAACAGAACTCCACTTAGCAAAATAAGCTAAACTTCTTAGAATATAGTTTTGTCTTACACTTACTATAGAAATATCTTGCATAAAATGATCTGCAACAATAAACAGTTATCTGAACGCCACGCACACATACAATCTATTACCAACAGTAATACAGACAGTATAAAAATCGGTGCATCTAACTGGGTTGCAAATACTTTTATGACTTACAGCATTTATTAAAATAGCTGTGATACCAACGATGAAAGGAATACAGCGGACAGTTAATTCTCACTGCCGGGTGACAAAAAAAATAATATATATATATATATATCAAGTGTCCACAGTCAGAAATCATTCAAGATTCTTAAGTGGTTTAACTGACATTTGAACAACAGCTCTAAAGATAATTAACGCAGATATTAACACGCTAAGATCCATTTTTTGGTAAGAAACTATACTGGCAAAGTGCTTACTGTACAGTACAGACTTCATATGGCCTCTGAAGTAGGTTTCCTGTAATGTAAAATTAAAACAGTATTCATACATAAATACACAACATTTCTATACCAGTACATACAATAACAGTGAGGTTTACAGTGAAAACAACCGATTGACTTATGAGCAGCAACATCAATACTGAGTGTTCCCCGGCGGACAGGAGAGAAGATTCACCAGCCGTTTCTACAAAGATGTGTGGTAGTATCTATGTGAGCGTACCTCTGTTTTGGTTTGTTGGTTTACTGACAGTACCTGAATGGCTTTCATCAAGCGAGTTGTGAAGCTGGTGGACTTGGGCGTCTTAATCCAACATAAAATACACGGAAACAAAACCGCACGGGGCAACTGGTGGTGGATGAGCTACAAACCCCCCCCAAAATGTACAGTATGGTAATCAGCTAAAACGACAATAAATGAAAATATACAGTGGGATAAAAGTAAAACCAGCCCAAAATCCTCACCACCGTTCCTTTGGCATCTGTGGTTTCAACACGTGACAAATTGCTAGTTTGAGAGACATTCGCTGAACAGTGAGGGCCGGCGGGGAGGTTAACAGCCGGGTTCTTTCGTTCCTGCAAGCCGTGCGCTCTGCGGCACGCTAACGAGACCTCGGGTGGAGCGGCACTCGCCCGCCGCCCTGGAGGCGGGACCGCTGCAGGCAGGCTGTGCCCCTGTTGGCCGCTGAGATGGTGCTCGTCGGCGGGGGTAACGCGTCGTGTTGGGGGTGCAGGATGGGGAGGTGTCAATACGGGGAGGAAGGCCTACGTTCATCACAGGAAGGTCTCGGTAGGGGAGCTCCTTCCTGGTGTCTCGGGGCTGACGTCGACTCTAACGCAGGCAATCTTCTCCTGGCTGTTGTGAGAGGGGAAGAACACACAATAGATGAGCGTGTGCTAATCCATGCTGCTGCTGCTGAGGGGGAGAGAAAGCGGAAATGTGGGCTGTGTAATAATGCCCATTTAGCAATGCTGAGAACCACCTACAGCACACTTGGGGTGGTGGGGGTTATGGGAGGGCTGTGTTCTTGATGGGGACAATTCTGCATTTAATTTGTGGGGGACTTGGAGATTTCCTCACGATGTGAAAAAGTTAACGGCTTTAAAAACACAGGAAGACAGAAGGAACCGTCATCTATGTTTTGTATCGAGGTGTTCTATCCGGCTCTAAATAGTAAACTTACATAGTACCTGATCCAGGTAGCAGTAAGTCTCCGTTTATTTCACTACAATGGGGAAATAATCTGTCAGAGTCCTAAAACTCAGCAGCCCCAAACCAACCACATTGTTTTTGTCAACATTACAATGTCATATCAAAAGTACTGCAGTTGGGGGGGGGGGGCGCGGCTCTGGGCATAGCTACCTTTCACTACGCTTCACAGGTTGGAGGCATGACTCTGCACTTGAGTTCACTGCTTTCAACTCTTCTGTTTTCTCCTTTTCATCAGAGATATTTACAACCAGGGGGTCAGTATCAGAACTACATGCAAAAAAAGCAAACACACACACACACACAAGAAGACAGGCATGTAGACGTCAAATGTGCAAGAGTGGTTTAGTGCAGGACAGTTCAAACAAGCATGCATAGAAATCAGAGGTTAAAATAAATGAAAAGAAGAACATACTCTGTGTGGCGGAACACACACACACACACACACACACACACACACACACACACACACACACACGTTTAGGGGATCAACAGGTGTAGGCCTTTTGCATTGGAGGCAGACATGATTTGCCATGAGTTGATAATGTACAGATAGTTAGTGAGACAAGGACACAATTATCTCAAGACATTTGAGCACAGACCATTCTACCCTGAGCATAAAACTAGAACACAGAAACACGCAAAGCAAGTGTGGTTTAATAAAGCCATTGTTTCAGTTTTGTTTTTCTTTAAATAGTGAGGACTGACAGTTGTGGCCATGCGCTAACTGTCTGGGGATCAGTGAGGAGGGTTAGAACACATCCATGTGGGTCAGATGTTTTCCATCAGACACACTACTACCCTGCTACCTCGTCTTCCATTGGGAGGCTGTGGGTCACTAGTCCTATTCTGTATGATCTGTTCAAGATGGACATAATTACACACAGCTGACTACTAGTGTCCAAACTGCCTGTGTACATAACAACATGATGCATCAGAAAATGTGCTCACAGCTAACGTTTATGTACTATGAGCTTCGTAAAGTTAAGTTTCTGGACAGATTTTCAGCCATAAACAGCTACTTTTGACAAAAAAGCATTTTAAGACATCATAAAAAAAGTGTTTTGTGGTCACATTAGGGTCAGAACATAAAGATCACCATCCCTGTAGGATTCAAAATAGAATACCCTTGATGCATTTTAAATAAAATGCTGCTTTTCATCTCACAGCTGGGCATCAAAGTGTGCTTAATGCTGTCGCACCACTTACCTCCCCGACAGTGCTTTCACGGGGATGTTGAGAAGGTTCGCGCCTTCAAAGCTGACCTTCAGTTCCCTCGCATCTTCTTTGTACAGTCTGGACTCTTCTTCCGGAGTGAAAACCGCACTGGAACCCTAAATCACAAAAGAGAAGTGACTTAAGTGAGAGAGGCCCAATACAGATACGGTACAAAGTCACCACTGCCATATTCATATCTTCTTAAACGTGACAATTTGAATAGCCAATTCTGAAGGTTGAGTATTACGAGAACTCACACGTCTCCCATGTGCACAACATGGAGTTGTGCACATGGGAGACTCATAGTAGCCAACTTTAGGATACTTTAAAATGTTCCATCTACCTCAAATAGCAATGCCTGCACAACTTCTGTATTTGTAGGGTATCCAGATTGCTGATATCTCAAGGTTATTTTAACTCTGACCATTTCCAAATCTGCTAATGAAGATCCAGTAGCTACGGGATTAACGTCCTTTAATGAGTCAAAACCCAACGATTGAATGGAAACTTTTTTGCACAAACATGCGTGTGTCTGTATGGAGTACGGTCAAAGATTCCCAGACTGAAGGACATCTTAGTGACTTGTGAAGATAGCGTTTCGGTTTACTGTAGCTGAGGAAGCAAACCAGGATTTGAATGTCTTTTGTAATAAATCGCTAGTTTTAAGCAGAGTGTCCGACTGAGTGCAAGAGGGTTGAGTAATATCTTTGAACATTTACTGTTCTAGGACACATATTCATACAGTACAAAAATAATTCAGAGCAATATCTTCATTATATTGTAAGTTGGAACAAACAGCCTACAGTCCGAGATGATGCAGTTTAAATTTCCACAACTTTGGAAGTTGATGCGAGGTCAATGCAGAACCAACGCACTTAACATTAAAAGGCGGCTGCAGTCAACCCTTTTATTGTACGCAATGTACGCTGGTGAAAAGGTGCAATGTGGGGGCAAATGGTGACCCCAATATCTTTGGAGTGCTCCAAATGTCCCATTACACCTGTAAAGAATAGAAAGACTATACATTTCACTCTATATTTACCAGATTTTCTTGTGCTTTCTTTTTCTTGTCATCCTCTTTCTTCTTCTTGCTTTCTGGCATCAAGTCATCAAGCCAGCTCAGCTCTCTCTTTGTGAAGAAGAAGTCTAGAAGCTTTCGGATAAAGACTAGCGCCAGAACCTGAAGACCCACAGATAAAAAAAGCTTCCATTAACTATTTACCATCAATGAATATGAAAAAAAATAGCATTTTGACATATCTTGGCATCTTGAATGAGTCTGTCTTCCACATATATCATAAACACAACACATATCATTAGGCTGGAGATTGAGGTCATTACCATCATGGGAAATACCACAGCAGCTGAGGAGGCCTTGATGACCCAGAGCAGCACCAAACAGGTGAGCTGCACCAGAGTGAAGACATGGACCTTCCACAGCGGCACGTAGCGCAGGTAGATCAGGTCGGGCTGGTGCTTGGAAGGCATGCCGAACAGCTTGATTCGGTCAAAGAACTGCGAAAGACATGAAAGACTCAGTGAGAGCGATAAGAAAGGAGAGAGACGTGGCTGGAAGGATTCAATATCATAAGAGGTTCTTAACTGCTGTTCCTTAGACTAGTAGAGTAGGGTGCATGATTATATGTGTAGTCGTGTCACACTAATGTCTTGGTGGTCAAGGACAGGAGGTATAGGAAGGGATGGACAAGGTTGTGTTTGTCTTTTGTGATATATATTTAAAAAAAACTTGATGTTAGCTTACTTGAATGCCTTTGAGGGAAGAGACCCCCATGTAGAGAAAGACGCCATACAGGACCGGCATAGGAATAAACTGTAAAGAGCAGACATATAACTGCAATTAAAATGGCTCCACGTGCAGTACAGGTTCAACTTATCTGTATTTCATACAGAGTGAAAACATGAAACAATTAACATTGATATTTAGCTACTTGAATTTCATTGTTGCTACTGTATCTCACCTTGAGCACCGAGGTCATGAAAACAGAACAGCCCATGAGGACAAAGATCATAAATCCAGTGACACGCTGCTCCCGGATGCCCAGAAACTTGGGCTGCTCTCCTGGAGCAGAGCAGCCAGACTCCACCTTCAGGCTGTTGACATGGGAGATGGAGAGGACTGTTGCAGCCACAAACCAAGGTAGGCCCATAATGGAGCACACGCCCAGCATTATTGCAACTATCAGCAAATCCAGGTGATAGCCACAGCCTTTCTGTGGGACACACAGAAGAAGAGAGACCAAGTTTGAGAAGCAATGAGTGTTTGTGGCTAAGGAGTGAATGCGATTTATGTAAAACTAGAATTACCACATTTAAAAGCGTAATCTCTACATACTCCTCTCATCCACTCTTTCAAATGTCTGCTTGATGAATATTCAGTGAAATGTCAGCTTTATTTTTTATAATGGTAGCAATGCAGAACCCAGAGAAATACTTCAGCTAAAAGCCGATTATGAAGATGAGGAAAATAGATGAGAATAGGCAAGTATGATGTAAGCTTCAACCAGAATTAAGGATGACAAGACGAGGGAGAAGAGAGTTCTTGTAAGAGATGGATTAGCTACAGACGAATAAAAAGGTGTGGAGGGAGAAGAGAGTTCTTGTAAGAGATGGATTAGCTACAGACGAATAAAAAGGTGTAGAGGGAGAAAATGAAGCACAGCCTGTGAAAAATGGATGCCAACAAAGAAACAAATACAATTGACACACTAAGAAAGTTTCCTCCTCAGAAAACCTGCGTGAGATCTGAGATACAACCCTGAAAAAAGTAAATCCACAAAGGCAGGTCTGACCTTGAGCTTGTGCTCCTTGCGGTTGATGATGACAGCGGTGATCTGCTGGTCCATGAAGATAAGGATGGTGCAGAGCAAAGCAGGAAGAGCTGCCACCAGCAGCGTCCACCAGGGATTGTTTCCTAACGGATCCATCAGCCAGCCTCTGTGCTTTGAAGTTGGCTTGTGGGGGGAAAAAACAGGGAAGATCTATATTTACTACACTAGGCAAAGCATTATTGTTAAAGGACATCTAACAGGACGACTTTAAGACCTTTGCATACATGCGAATAGATGCCTACCTCAAAGCGGTCAGGGACATTCAGTTTGGGAGAAGGGATCCCCATTAAATAGTCCACCAACACCATGACCATGATGGTTATAAACACAGCAAAGTCGCTGATGGTGGATCGCACCTAAAAGAACACAACACAGTTCACTATTTTTTACTGATGCACACAAAAGGAACACAGCCGTAGACTAGATCACTGTCGAGATCCAACAAGGAAACAATTACAATGATGTTGACAGTAAAAAGCCAAACAACTCAGACAATACCAGCATCTGCCTACACAGAAGAGCAAGTGATAACGGAGTAGCTGATGCTGTGTGGGAGGAGGCAAGGAACGCTTTTCTTTCTGTACATGAGGCTTCACCAGCGTGCTAATGACTGACACAAGCTAAACAGTTACATAGCGGGAGAAGCTTTAAGCTAGATGTGTAGCAAGAATACCCTGCTATCTCATCGGAATTCATAGTTTTATTCAACTAGTCACATAAAAATGTATTGCACTCAGAGCAATGCACGTTATTCATTTTTGGACTGTCAAAATCATTACAGGAATGATGCATTTGTAATTATTCAGTGTAATTTTGCATTTATAATATGACTGGCGATAAGAGGGAATGCTAATTCTTACATAATCATAAACTTGAAGCGTTTACGGTCTTATATTTGAGGCGATCTACACCAAACAATGCTGATTTGCCACAAGTTTGAGGAATATGATGTGTATACTAAAATGAGGGGAGATCTGAAGGGATTCTGGTGCACTGGAAGCATTTCCGTTTTTGACCAGAGGGACTGAATGAGTTCGCGCAAAACAAATGTAGGATAATAAGAACTTTACTTCACAACTAGAACATGTAATCTACAGCTAATTTCACGATGCATTCACATTAGCAATTTAAGTCACACGGTGCTGCAAATACTACATTCCAACTCTACGAAGGTTTTCAGCCCAACATAAACACAAATTCTAGGACAAACTTCGTTTTACAAGAGGAAAAATTCTTTCTCTTCTCAGAATGTCAGATTTTTGCGGGGATTGAGCATTTGAAACGTTTAATCGAAGACAAGAATATATAACATACGGGTTTCAGCATTTCATTTTGGAAATCTTACATATTATACCTTTGAGAGCAGTACAAGCCTCACTAAGAAGAGAAAGCATGTAACAAATGGAACAAACGCCTCACCCTGGTGTGAAAATATCTCTCCGTCTTGAACTGCTTAAGGAAGGCGGACAGGCAGAAGGTGGTAAAGAAGAGGATAACAGACCAGAAGAGAACATCTGGGATGTAGGGCCCATGATGACCACAGGCAGGACCCACAAACTCCCCATGGAGTGTCTTGCACATCTAGAGAAAATGGAGTATTAGGTGTGATGCAAAATATAATAAGCTGTTCCAGTACCAAGTGTATTATTGGTAGTCGGCTACAGGTCACAGTTCTTGAAGCGTTTGCATTAATGTTGTGGATCTAACTTCAATCAATGTGAATTGGAGTTGGTGCGCGAGTGTGAGACTGTATGTAAGCGACAGGATATATGCCTTTGATGTATATTTGCTCATAACACATCATATACGTGTGTGAGATTCCAGCATATGATCATTGTGTGCTGGTCCCACCGAAACATTGAGGCTGCTCCATGGGATTGAGTCTGGGCTGTATCCTGTCCCATTCCACTTCTGCATGAGCTCATCTGAGGCATTGACCGGTTGAGAGCACTGACACCTGGGGATTAGCAGAGAAATGCTGAGCAAAGTACGAAGGCTTTTCTTAAGTTAGGTTCATTTTAAAGTCAATTAAAAAAAACTGGATGCAGAAAATCTTTCGTTTTTAAATTTGCAAGGGGCTAATTTTCCATTTCTGGGAAAGGCATGCACTGGGAACAGCCTACGCCTCTGGTATTAGTTTTCAACAACAAGAGCAGTGTTACTCAAAAATACTCATGTGCATAATACACAACTTGACGTAACCCTTTTGCATTTAACACCACACCCTGACCTGAAGAGTGTATCACAAAAAGGGAATTTAATTGTAGCATTACTCAACAAATACATATTCATAAATCACACAAACACTGATTATGTTATTAGTTTATTACACTCACTCTAGATGGAAAAACAAAAAAAAAAGTTTTACAAATGTAGTACTTACGAATACATAGTAAGGTTTTCCAAGTTGTTGTGCGTGTTGACAGGGTAATGTTCCCCCAGGTGAAAGAGCTTCTCCAGAGCCTCGTAGATGAAGATGATGCAGATGAGTGCGGCAAAGGCCTCCTCTGTGAAGCGGGTGATGTAGCAGACCAGGGAGCTGGCGTCTGTGGCCACCAGGACCAGACACATGAAGGCCGTCCACAGACCGATGCTGGTCCGCAGCGACAGGTAGGACAGTTCGTAGTCCCTGGTGAAGAAAGGCCAAACAAATGTGACATGGAGTACAATGGATACTGTACACAGGTTATTTGGAGCTTGGAATCCATCATGGAATGTAGTTGAAAAAATAAATGCTGCATACTACTTGAGATGATTTTGTCTTATCAATGTGTCTTTGATGTGGGTCTATTGATTTTTTTTAAATTATTTGACACTATGATGAAGCAAACTTGCATGAACGTACACGCAGAACTTGAAGAGGATCTTCTCAAACACTAAAACAGGGCCCGTGCTTCCGAGAATAGTGAGGGGCTGGCCCGCGAAGAGGGAGTACGCCACTCCCGTCAATGAGGCCCCAAACAGAGACTCTATGGCACTCTGTAGAAACACAGGAGAGGGAGGCAGTGAGGGAGGAAGTGGGAGGCAAAACCACGCACAGGGGGACAAAGGAGAAGAAATAGGGAAAGAAACCGCCCGCCCCCCACAACACACATTAGATTAAACAAACTTTCAGGACTGCGTCTCAGAGGCTAGACAAAAAATGTTTGAGCGTTTTTCTCCACCAACTGGTCCAAAGACATATCGTGTGTAGACCTTAATTACAGTTTGCTCAGACTCATAAAACACACACACACACACACACAAACACACCTAACAGTCCTTGTAAGGACATCTGGTTTTAAAAAAAGGAGGGGGGGGGGGCAGACAAAGGGAGCAATAAAAAGACAAGACACTATATAGCTTGCATGATAACAGATCGGTGCGTGGGAGGCGGACTATTCATCATATCCCATTTAGTCCGGTGCAAGAAAGACACCTAGATGAGAAAGTGATAGCACAGAGAGAAAGATTATGGCGACTTTCCTTGACAAAATGTCAGTGCAATAACATCACAAAATGAAATACTCCCTGTCCTATGTTGTAGTAGTGTAAGCATACATGGCAGAAACCAGGGGTTACGGGTTTGATACCCACTGGGCTCATGCGAAGCACAAGTATTTACTTTGGAGTGTCATGTTTTCAGACTGACTATGTTGCCTTTTGTCGCCTCGCCAAGCAGCCCTCCAAATGTGATGACAGGGGACATGCAGGCGCAGTAGAGGAACAGGACGGAGGCCAGACACTGCAGACTGAGGGAGTCTCTGATGTCGCTCCAGTAAAACGGCAACTTCCGCTTGACGTCCAGGACCAGACCTCCACATATCCTGGAACAGGCCAGGTTTGTTTGGATTTTCAAGAAAGAGTGCACAATGAGATTAAATATCATCAATTAATGGATAAATTGGACAATAATATAAATATAATATTAACCTTAACACAATTAACGCAAACGTTTGAATAAACAATTGTCTGCCTCCACAACCCCTGCTGTTGTTTCTAATAGCTTTTCCTTAAATTCACCCCTTACACTCCCTTGTCCTCCACTAGCTTCCTTATAGAGGAGCCTTTTATAGTTGCGCTGAAAGCAGAGGGAATCTGTAAATAATACAGTGCCTCGCAACTGAGGATGTGTGTATGCGGTATGAATTTCTGTCTCAGGGTTTAAATAAACACATTCTCCCCCTCTCTCCCTCAGTCTCTCTCTTCCTCACGTTTTTATTGTCTCCATAGACACAGCACGAGTTACCCAGAAATAAATATTTCATACACATTAAAATGCTGTTCCACTTTAATGATGGATGATGAGGAATAATCCCAAGTAGTTCCCAGAGCTTTTACTGAACACTTAAAGATCAGGCACTAGTAGGCTCTGGATTAGGAGACACAAACTGTAGAAATACTTGATGATTTGTCAGTGATGTCTTTAAAGTGAGGCAATTCTAACTAATTAAACCACAAATCATTCCTTGTAGCTCAATAAAGATACAATGAGGTCCCACCGAGTCCCTTTTCTCACTGGACAAAGAAAATTATCAGTAGACGATAAGTTTCAATTCAGGAACCTTCCACAAAACCAGGATAGTAAATAATAGCAAGTATTGTGGAGGCCGATTAATTGGTTATGCTGGTTACTTTTTTTATATACTCGTTACTCATTCAGCCGCTTCAAAAGCTCTGCCGACTAATTTTGGAACAATGTTTGAGCGCTGGTTGGACGGAGACTGAATAAATACTGATAAATAGCATTACTACTGCAAAGTTATTTATCCCAGGAATGAACGGCAATTGTATATTTTTGTCCAGAGTGAAAAGGGGCTTTATGAGTTTTCAGCTGCAGTTCTTGTTAAAAAGTATTTTCTATCATAATCTACAGGATATATCAAGCAGAAAAATATTCAATTAAAAGTGAGGGAGTAAGCTCCACAATTTATTTAAAGTCAATAGTTTGCTAAGCTCACCTCCCGGTCCTCTGCAGCTCAGGACCAGCGTGGTCCTCATCCTTTACCTGCTCCCCGGCTGGAGACGCACTTCCGTTCAGTTGGGACGGGATCTTCCTCTTCATCTGAAGGTTAAATTACGACATTTAACAAATTGAAAACTTTCAAACAATTCTGTTCTTTTTCTGTCATAATGCTTTACATCCACAAGGGGGCACTCTCATTGTAATTTTAGTGGCGTGAAGTAAAGCGTGATGTACAGAAATACACACAAGGAACTTCTGGGTTGCAGTTTATGACACCAGATTCGAATACAGCGTATGATTTCCAGTCAGTGTGCTCCGTGTCAGCATGCGGCTCATAAACAACCCCTGCATTAGGACCTCTTTATCAGGCATGAAAACGGGTCAAGGGTGAAAAAGGTGAGAAGGATATTACCCCTCTAGGGCAGGGGTTTTCAACTGGTTTTGTCCCAGTGAGTCATTTGTTGACAGGGGGGGTAAGATATTACCGACCATTTTACCGACTCGGTTCGTTGAATCTCATTCAGTAAAATGAACGAATCTTTCTTCGAGTTATTCGTTGACGGGGGGGTAGCGGTAGCTGATCATTTTCCACCGGAGCTTTAGCTAGCTGGCCAACGTCGTGTCAACAAAGCTCCTGGGTAACTTAACTTAGATCACTCACCCTATTCGCAATTCACTGAATCTCGCGCTCCTTCTGACACGCGCACCTGTTCGCAGTTCACTGAATATGAATACAACCCCCCCAAAAAAACTCACCGAATCTACACGATTCACGTAGGTCACCTATTTTGGTTTCAAAACGGCGGATTTCGCCGAAAGGTGAGGGATTTTCATGCCTGCTTTATGGTTATGGAGGTTATGCATTGCACAACATTTAATGCACACACCTTTGTAAATACACATCGAACAATCTTTGACAGATTTATTAACCTGAGATGGGACATTCTTGGGGGGCTCAATCCGGATTGTGGGGTCCCATTCTCCAGGAGGCAGGACAGTAACTTGATCCAGGAACTCATCTATCCCCGAGAGCAGATCTATTCGGTCTTTGGCTTTATACGCCACATCGTGGAAAATCTGCATAGTGAATGTGTTAAGCGTTATCAAACGTATGTGCAAGTCAAAATAATCTGTATAGATAAAAGCCTATCAAGCATCTTTAAATCCCCAAATATCCAAATTGAACGTCCTCATTTTTTTTATACAGTTTTGGAACATGCCAAGCTGACACAAGTGACCAAAAAGAAATCTGTCTCACCTCGTCAGTCATTAGTGTGGCCATGGATCTGCCAATCTCATGGTACTGGGGCCCTTTGCCATGAGGACCCAAAAGCAGGAAAAGAAACCTTGTAAAAAATAAAACAAAAACACAAAAAAACATGAACGCGAACTAAAGGTACTCTGGAGTGTTCCTGTCAAAAATGTAACCAACGCCTTCTGCTTCTTACTTTAATGCATAAAGAATATAATTGATGATAAAAAAAAATAGTAATTTGCATATTTTGTTGTTTATAACATATGTTTGCTAGCGAGCAGTCTTTGACGATTGCAACATGTTAAGAAAGACTGCAATGTGTCAGACGTGGTTCATGAGTTTAAAAGTGTCTGCAGTGAGGTGTAAGGTGTCACCAATGTCTCCATGTACTATGCTGGGGCCTAATTTAACATTTTTGCTAAAATTGATGTAAAAAGGCAAACACCGGTGCGTAATGAGCATGAGAGGTTCACATGACTATATGTGTGCTCCGGTTATTTTTGTTGCTGTAGAGCATAAACAGAGTAAACAAGATTCTGAATGCAAATCCAGTGTACTAAGAATGGCCGTTAGTCCCCAGGTGTTATTAGTCACTTGTGAGTAGGGCTTTTACAAATACCAGTTTGCTTTTGATTTCTTCAAGAGAATAAGAACTCAAGTTTTGGAGAAAAAGTCTCAGTCATCATGATATATTCAATTCCAAATGATTGTACCTTGTGGGTACTGGCACCTCTGTGAGGCCTGTGATGAGGACAGCAGGGGACAGTCGCACAAAAGCAATTATGGGCTTCTCCAGGAAGTCCACTTCTCCCACCAGTACGTTGGAAGCTTCAGCACCCGGAGGAATCTTTTTCATGAAATTCATGTCCACCTGAAAGCAGGGGAAAGGCAAACAAACACTAAGGATCAACAGAGAGAAAGGACTAAGGACTCTTACAAGGACCTGCATGCAAGTTGGTGGTCACTATGGTAACCAAGTTAGTAGCAACACAGGACTACATTGCCCTGTGCCAAGACGGTCAGTTGCGGTCTTATTTTAGTGAATAACTAATGTGCAATGCTACATAGAGAAATGAGCACAACAACAACGTGTTCATCCCTGTGTAGAAATGATTGCGCAATCATACCTCTTTTTTTAAATCCGCTTACTCATATAAACACTGCACCCTCTATCAGGCAGTCATAATGGGCGGTGGTATAATGACAACTACTTCTGGCGCCCAGCCATTAATTCAATGGAGAAAGTACAGAACGATAGGATGACTAAGGCCACGCGAGGGAGGATTTTCTTTAAGAACTAAACAGTCACTTAACAATGAAATACTTTTACAATTCTTTGTCCATTACGGGCAACACCGCTTTCTGAGGCTGCAAGAGAAGCACTAATGGGTATGTGCTGGTGGCTTTACTTTAGGCAATTAAAAATGTCCTTGAAAGTTGAGAAAGTGAAGAAAGACACTGTTGAACTCATGAGGGCTTTCCACGAAGGACCGTTTCTGTGCCCAGTACCGTGGTAAGGTTACCTTGCTGAAGTCGACACTGCTGCTTTCTCTACTGACCCCTACTTTGGAAGGTCTCCTCTCCACTGCCTTGTTGCCAGCCAGGTTGTTTGGGAAAGAGTTTGGAGACACCAGTGGTCCTGGGGAAGGGAAGAGGGAGTGCAGGAGAGACAAGTGGTGATGGAAAATGCGTCAGTACTTGGAAAGCAGGAGCAGGTCGAGAAGTTGAGAATCGCAGTGTGTGTGTCGCCTTGAAATGCCATTGCAGTTTTCGTTGCATAAGGCTATTTATTAAATGCCACGTCTTCCATTTTCTCTCTGCTCAGATTGGCCTCATTATTTAGTCTGAATGGTCCCCTAGTGTTTGTGCCAGTTCCTTTCTTTACTTACAAGACCAACACAAGTCCAGATCGTGACATACTAGCTGGCTTAAATGATACACGTGTTGGGATCCAGTAATCAACAATGATGATGAAGTAAATGCAACAAATCTGCAAAGTCATAACGCACATATTGCTAAAATCAGTAATATCTGGATTTGTCTTTCAAGATTTCCCATTTTTGACTGCCAGCGAAAGGACATCTTTAACTACAACCATGATTTAGTAGAAAGCTACAACACTATCTCTTCACAGCAGACGATAGATTACACAAAGCACTGTTGGTATTTGCTGTTGAGCTCACAATTCTTACGCTCAAACCAGTCATGCTATGCTTGAATTTGTGTCAGCTTCAAGCTAAAGGTGAGGTGTGTTTGATGTGCCTGAACGTTCAACCTCATCAGACTTGTACACCTACAAGTGGCGATGCGCCGGTTTGTTTTTGCAAAATTGGGTGCACACTTCAACATTGCTTATGCCAGACACAGGAAACGCTAGCACTTGAGGTGACATGAGAGGGAGATGAAATGAGTGAGGCGTGGATTTGAATCAAAGGACAGCATTTGAATTCCATTGTCCAAAATTCAGAAGCAACACTTTTACCAGGGTCCCCCACCAACGAACTAATCAAGCCAATGTCAAACACAAGACATTCATAAAGGGTTAAGCAGTGTGCTGCATTTCAATTACCCCAAACAAATTTAAAATGAGCCATATATAAACCACATGTCCTTGGGGCAGTGATCAATACCCTTGACCTGTAATAAGCACAGCGGATGCTGGCTGGCTGTGACTGCTCAACAGGAGCATGATTGCTCACATACCAGACAAAGCCTCATGGAATAAGGGAGGGATTAGCTTAGGTTGCAATCGCTAACATGCTTCATTCAGGAAACTAATCCCTGGAATGCTCCGCCAAACTGGCCAGTCCAACTGTGGCGTCATAGCGCTCTCCCATTAGTATGCGAAAAAGTACATTAAATAACTTTAATTATACAGCATTTCAGAGCCTTTTTGGAGCTGGTAGTTGTACACATGTATGTAAGCAAGCATTTAACACACAAGGATTGTATAAAGGCATATATATGCAGAGTTTAGACGGTGCCATTTATGTTTATCTTTTATAAAAATAAATGTTATAGAAAACTGAAAATCAAATGCTTATGAACTGAAAGGCTAGAAACCGTGTAGAACAACAGGGAGCGATTGAACACTCTTTGCATAGTAGGTGTTCAGGTATTCCATGACCTTATGCTCAATGGATCCATGGCCTTTATATGTATAAATAGCCAGCGGTCAAGGAAATACCATTACAGTCTTAAAAAGAAACGGTCAAGCACACCGTTGACTACTACAAATGATTTATTTACTTGTTATTGACCAGTTACTAATTTCAGACAAATTACTCTAAAAGGGAACATTAATGATACTTTACGGTCTAACACTATTTATCCGTTCAATGCAGTCACATAGCTGCTGTTAAGTCAACATTTTACAAGAGTGCTGATTATACAACCTACTGTTATTAGACTGAGAGGACAAAGAATTTAACAAGAAAGTAGGTTATTAGTCATTGGTTCAACACTGTGTATTTGGTAACGAGGACGACGAGGGTAGAATTACAGAAGCTCCTCAGCTATAATAAGACCACCCCAACCTTTCACATACAGCTCCCACCAAGTCATCGCTGGTTCTTATGACCCACACTTTGAAATAGAGCCCTTCCCAGAGGGAGACAGACGCACACACTACAAACGAAAACGCAGCCTATTAATAAACTGACCAGGTTTAGTTTTGGAAGAACAAAAAGTCACTGCAGGTGCCAATACGATAGTACATGCAGTACCACTACACCCACCCTGGTCTCAGGGTTATATTTAGCCATGCTGCTGGGACCCGTTACCCTCACTACTCTTACTCGGGTAAAAGTACAACTTACACTTAGGAATCGGTAAGGAGGGACAAACTGATGCAATGGGAAAAGCACGAGTTGCGCGACATCTATATCTGTGTGTGCTCAAAATGGGGCCGTCACCTGGAGGTTAAAACCCGTATAGGGATGTCCCGAGGATCTGTGCCTGAGACCACTTTGAGTTGTCATTCAACATTCATCCATATCACAAATTAAAACTCCAAACCACAAATCCTTCATTATTAGAAATTGTATTCTGGATATCAAATCAAAAAGGTTCCAGATGCAAATTCCTCAAAATGCAACACGAGTGAAAAGCCGGTCAAAAAAGTAACAGCAGATTTAACTAATATATCACCACTACACCACTAAACAAGTATAAGCGGAGCAGCTTTGGGTAAAAAAATAATAATATTTTGCTCCACCAAAGTGCTCATGTGTGAAAAGAGTTGCTTTGCAAATCCAGTCCATAGCGGTTTGTCACAAAATCTATATGGCAGAGTATACTCAGCGGGTGTATTTGAAAATGACATCTGCTTAATGTAATTAGTTTCAAATAGGAAAAGGACTAAATGTGAGGCATTTAATGATATCCAAAAATCCAAGAATCATATCAAGGCTTATATATCAATATATTGTCTGGCCCATCAACAAATTCTAATCCACACCACTCCTTCTGAAATCATACAAAGCACTTCAGGACAGTTTTCAAGCTGCCAAAATTATTTTTGGCTGGTCATGAAACCTTTAAAATCCCATGTGGACGCCTTCATATGATCTAAGTCAGCAAACGAGACGGGAGGATTGTCACCGTTTCAGAGTCCCTGGGAAAGAGAAACAACAATTTACGGCCCACAGACCGGAACATAACTATTTTTTACATTATTTATTGTGGTTATGGCTCACACTTTGTCAGGACCACCCAAGAGATGATAACCGAAGAACGGAACAAAAGTAAAGCTAAAAAACAGGGACAGCGACAGAGCCCGGCCCAAAGTCATTGTGAAACCCGGTTGTTGAATCAATAGAGAATTGTGGAGTTAGAAAAATGTATGCATTTGCTCTTTATTTCCTAGACTAGTATATCATCAGGTTTCCACTAAATTCATTGAGTCTTACCAACTTAGTTGCAAAACAAATGCACTGCTATCCAGATCAAGACAGCAGTGCAATCCTCTTTTCATCAACACACTTTTTGTCCAGAGGGGTCGCGATTTGGTCGCCAAATCGCAGTTGCTTTTCTTTTAAATTCTGTGGGAAACTATTCTGAAAGCACCGATGCAGATAACATTTTCCTGGAGACTATATCAAGCTTTTAAACCTGGATTGGATTTACGGATTTCAATACCGGCCACTTGGGGTTTAGTTTGTATTGGGCAACTGTATAATGCACCCATATTGTGCATGATGATGATAATTATCAGCAGAAGATTAAATAACAAGCAAAAAATTAAAAGATAGTCAATTTTACAAAAAGGAAAAAAATCGGGACATCCCTTCTAACTTTCATGAAACGCTTTGGCCAAGAAAGAAAGATGCAGTTCGGGAGAAACACCGACCAAGATCGTTTGAAAGGCAGCCATGCAACGACAATGTCGGATGTGTGACTGGGGAGAGAGCCAAGCAAGTCAGACGCTGAGGAATGCCTTGAAAATGTGTTTAGAAACAAGGAGAAGTTTAAATGGCAGAAAGAAGAGATATTAGTAGAAACGATTGAGTCAGTGGAATAGATGCAAAAAGAGTAGCGAGTGGAGCCAGAATCATGAGGCAGAGAGAAGTGTCAACAACTGTGGAAAAAGCGTCTTAGCGAGTGAGCCTTGCTGTGGGTTATTGATGAGATGACCGCAGCTTTGGAAGTAAAAGGGACAGTTCAACCTAAAGTCAAAAATACATCTTTTTTATCTTACCTGTAGTGCTAATCATATTTATAGATTATTTTTGGTATGAAGGGGCGAGTTGAAGAGAAATCCGTCTTTGCTGTCTCATAGTTGGACAGATTACGCCAAAACAATGTATTCTGTTAGATAGCACAGCAAGTAAGAGAAAAAATGACAGATCTGAGACTCGAGTGCACCGTCCCTTCAACAGGCAGCAGGGCTTCCATGCTAGTGCTAGTGTTCTCTGCTCAAGCCGTGACTCACACTGGCAGGCTACACAGATATTTGCCTTCTAAGGGCATCATCTCGAGGCCCTGGGATGCCGAGGATGCTCGCCGGCTGATTTCCGGTGATGATGCATCTTCTTCTGCAGAGTTCTGTGGGTTGTCATCCTCGGGAGGTGACACCACCACGTCCGGGATGCCTTGAGGGCCAAGGCCTATGCCGTGGGTTTGGGAGGAGTGTCGGAAGGCGGACGGGGTATTTTGAGGGGTGGTGAGGAGCGGGGGGCCTGGGGCGTGCCCAGTGTTGGAGGAAGAGGGCAGGAGGTGGCTGAGCAGGATGGAGACCCTGGACTCTCGCCTCTGGGAGAGGTTGGAGACAGAGGAGGCTGTCCCTGTCTTGTGGAGAGAGAGATGTGAAGAGGACAGGCCCTCTCCTAACAGAGGAGACAATGGCAGGTAGGGTATAGGAGAAGGGAGAGAAAGGAGGAAAAGGAAAAAGGGATGGAGCAGAGAGGAAAAACATATGAAGTAGGAGTACATCACAGAGGTGGTATCTGCAGGAGCCTTGGCCGAAAGGGGGGGGGCAGCAAGAGCGGGGCAGAGGTGTAGTTAGAGAGGATTGTGCTCGAGCGAAAAGCATGGCTGTGCGGCAGAAGATACGAACAATGATTCACTGAGTTGTGTGGGAGGATCTGCGAAGGCCAAACGGCTTGTCTCATTCATCTCCAAACAAACGAGTCATCCAACGCGTCAGAGGTTGGGGTAAAACTCGGAGTTCAGAAAGACATGCAGGGGGAGTTAGCTCGATGTCAGTGCACAGTAAGCAAACGTGTGCTGCTACCACAATAGACCAGTCATAAATCCTAAACCGTACTTACTTGTTTGACACAAGACGTACATCACCAGCCATCAATGTGACCTTTGTGTTTTTAAATAACATTAGAAATGCAAGCCCAACAAGAACCACAGGCACGGAAGTGGAGAATGTGATTCGTCTTTCATTCTTAGAAATCACAGGATCTTAAAATGCACGCCACACATCTACACCACTGCTGCCATGCCCGGTAAAAAAAATAAAAAATAAAATAACACGCGCGCACACACACAATGCTGACTCCAGATGCAGGTGAAGCAATAATTCCTCAGTGTCAACCTTTGGAGTGAAAACAATCATCAATTCAATACCCCAAGCCAGGCCAGCAATACAGGTTAGCACAGTCAGTAGCACTCAGATTTCTCTTTCATTACCAGGGCCGACTGAGACGGCTCTCTAGATTTTACTCACTTTTGCCATCCACCTTCTACGATGGCATTGGGGGATTCAAATTGAACGGTGGATTTTTAGGGATAGTTCACCCCAGTGGTGGAAAATATGGAGGAAAAAGAAATGCCAGTGCGTCGTTGGATCTCACCGTTTCTTTCGAGCAAGAGCGGGTCAGAATGTTTCTTGCCTATGTCAGCAAAGGAGCGCACCAGAGGGATGCGGTTGCTTAGTTTTCTCTCGTTCTGGTGGTGATGTTTCTTCAGCATGGCTTCTCGAACGTTTTCCCGCAAATCCTCCTTCAGCTGGCCTGAAGCCACCATGCTGTCTATCAGCATGTCTGAGTCGTACAAAGAGAGGAAATTAGAATGATGTACGGACCATTGAATATCAAGGGTCAATTATTATATACATGTTATTTATCATTCTAATCATCACACTGCTACATAGGAAATACAGTAAAATTGATTAAATGGGTTGTGCATCTTTCAATTGAGTATTGACAAAAAATACCCGCAATTTCATCGATACTGTTGGCCCTCATATCCAGCATGACTGTGCCGTTGAGTATGCAGCTACGCAGTTCAAATAAGCTGTGTAGCGACAACGTAGCCACATAGGGCTTACTCCACCTCTCCCCGCCATCTTCCACGTCCTCTTCAAACTTTAACCACCTGTGGATAAACACCAAGAGCACAAGATAGGAAATTGTTAAATTATTTAAAAACATCAATGAGCTACAGTTATCAGTCAAACGTTTGGACACACTTCCTCATTAAAGTGAATGAGGAAGTGTGTCCAAACCTCTGACTGGTAACTGTACAATATAGTTGAAGTGTTACAAGTGAGTGAGTCTCTCTCTTTGACGGTGTCTTTTCATTCTGTTGTCTGGTGTCAAAGTTCTAAGTAAAAAGGCTTAGGGTTGAATGATGAAAATGTTTGCAGAAATGTGCACATGTGCTGTAAATGTAGGCACTAAGGCCGATGTTACTAGAAGCCATTATGATACCGAATCAGGGTTTCCAGTCAGTAGAATTTTAGAATGCTACAAAGATATTGTGCAATATAAAAAGTAATGTTTTGTACAGAGAGCATTGCTACTCTGTGGATGGGGCAAACGCTTACTTTGCTTCTCGTCAGATACTGCGTTCAAACAGGAAATACAAAAGGGGCCCATTTAAAATGTCTACAAAAGGTTGTTCCGTATTGCAGTTGTCGTCATGCAGTTTGTCCCTTGAGTTGTTTTCTCACCTGGCAGTCTCCTTCCATTCAGTGGCACCGCCATGTCTGAAGGAGAGCTCGTCCAGCTCAGTGAAGAGGTCGTGGGGGACGTGCTCCAGGTCATCGTCCTCTGTACCTAGGATGAACTGGACCCGCTGGGAGGGTGTGTCTGCGCAAACGGTGGCGTAAAAGGTCATATTAACAACAACAGCAAAACTCTTCAGGCATTCAGTGTTATTAAAAACCTGTAACCGTTTCCAACAGTTTCCAACGATCTGCAGGTGGCAAAGAAATGCAGCAATGAGCCAGTAGAGGTGAGGAAGACAAAGACTCCAGCTTCGTAAACATGTTAACAATGCGTGTTCTGAAATGATCCACTTTGGAAACGTTGATGAAGAAATGGGTTCCGTTTGTTAGAGCTCATTCTATATAATGCTAAATTACATATTACTTTGGTCCAACTCCAGTGCACCTTTAAGTGAAAACATGAAAGGAAATGGTAGGATGAAACCAAATTCGTTCTGACCCATTTTCAGAAAAGTGTGTGCGTGTCGCTAATAGAGCGGATAATAAGACTAAGCGTCTCAAGGAGGCAAAGAACGAATGACTGGCAGCAAAGAAATACACTACCTGTTGCTGCTTACTGCTCACCTCCACGTTAACAATTCTCCACTGCTCCTAAAAGGCAGAGTTTCGCTTCGATGGGCGCACACAGACAAACGCATGTGAGAGCACACATACGGGGGAGCACATTTGTCGGTGTTTGTCTGTACGTCAACACCCCCCATTACTTGTTTTTAATGTTAATTATAGGCTGCATGCATTTTTTTCTGTTTTAACCATAACTAATGTTTTGTTCTTTTGTCTTGTGTCATGGTCTCCCTGCTACCGCCATTTGACCTCTGCAGCTCATCCAGAATGCAGCAGCTTGACTGGTCTTTAACCTTCCGAAATTCTCCCACACTACTCCACTCCTCCGCTCTCTTCACTGGCTACCGGTGGCTGCCGGCATCCAATTCAAAAATTGGTGCTCACGTACCATGCTGTGAATGGATCAGGTGCAGCTTACATCCCAACCCGCACTCTCCACTCAGCATCTGCTAAACTGCTTGTTCCTCCCTCGCTGAGAGCAAAATACTCGACTAGATCACAACTCTGTCTTTGCTGTCCTGGCTCCAAAATGGTGGAACGAGCTCTCTGAAGACATCAGGACCACAGAGAGCCTTCACATCTTCCGCCGCAAACTAAAAACACACCTCTTAAGACTCTATCTCGACAAAAAGACTGACAAACCGCAGCACTTAAATTGTACTTATAATGGCTCTTATCTATAGCAAATTGTAAATTGGCTTATTTGATGATATTGCACTTTGTCGTTTCTTGCTCTTCTGAGTTTGTATCCCTATGGTTGAATGAACTTATTGTAAGTCGCTTTGGATAAAAGCACCAGCTAAACGACATGTAATGTAAATGTCATGTCATGTAATTAAGGAACATTTGTACAGTAGTTAATGTGCTGCGACCTACACGCACCAAAGAATGAATAGATAATGGAAGATAAATATAAGCTCGGCCTCAAATGTTGATTGTGAGGCGAATCCTGTGCATGTGTTAATAAACACACAGCTACAGGGTGTACGCAAGCCATTGAGAGAGAGAGAGAGAATAACAGTGGGTGTGTGGTTTGGCTGTGAATGGGGACATTAAGACATTTAGGATGAGCGCTTCCAACCATTTGTGGGGGATTCCCGGCCATCCTCTTTTCCCTCCTCAAAGTCTCGCCCTCTCTTCTTTCGGTGATGTCTGTGTCCTCGGTGCCGATGCCTCCTTTTGCTGTCCCTTCCGAGAGGAACATGGACACCTACGTACACTGCTCTGTGGCCTTGAGGGAAGGAAAGTGCAACACCAATAAGACACATTTTCCTGTCACAGTTTGGGAGAGAAAAACAAGCAGAAAAACCTCTTCCAAAGAAAATCAAGGTTAAATAGCGTAAGACACGGAATGTTGTTTTTCTTTTTGAGTTACAATTTCTGTGTTAAGCAATCCAAATTCCACAAATTAGTTGTGGAAGACACATTTCAGGTTTTTTGTAATGGAGTAGAACTTTATTTTTACATTGTCCTCACCTTTATATAAAGACATAGACCCATTTGATACATCAGGTTCCACCTACAACACAGTGAAGTCTGATGGAAAGTGTAAAACCTGAAGTCAGTCTATTTCTTGCCCTTCACACTCAGATGACTTCTGCCTCAAGTAAAGCTAACAGACTGACAAAGCAAGAACTGTTGGATTGCAATTCCAAATGCAATAGAAATTCAATTCCAAATACCACGGCTACATTGTGAAAGTGACAGTTTAGGCCAACAAAAACAGTCACTGTCTCAGTAGAGACATTGACATTTTTTACCGTTCTGCCTACTCCCATATTTACTTCCCCCCATTATTATTACTACCACACAGAAACTGTGTTCTGAGATGCAAAGCCCCATTTCTGCCCTACATTCTCTGCCAACACCCATTTCTCCCAGATGAGTCATCTCTCTTTCATTTGAGAAGGAAACCCAGAAGCAACAAAACCAAGATGCAGCACTCAAGGAGTAAGTGACACGGTAAACATGAGCCAGACAGATGGAGGAGAAACAGAGACGGAGAGGAAGAGAGACAAAAGACACAGTAGATGAAAGGAAGATGGAGTGAAAATATAAAGCTCGGCACGGTGTATGAAGTATGGTGGACCCACATAAAAGCAAGAGCAGTGGGAGATAATGCACTGCTGTGTTCTCTACATGTGAACAGCACTGACACTTGCTGCTGCTTCCTAAACTATGAAACAGACCCAAGTAAATTAAAACAACAAAGCAATTTTTCCAAGCGCAAGGCTTGCACATGTGAAGTGGAAAAAAATGTCACCCTTGGAACTTCATTTAAAAAAACAAAAGCATATTAGTGACAGAAAGAATAATTCTGTCTTGTTGGCATGAAACTTACTTTCCAAATCCTCGCCACCATAGTTTGATTGAGTGCTGAAGCTGCTCTTCCCATGGTCAACTAGTGCCTCCTCGTCTAGACCCTGAGAACAACAGAAGGGGAGAGTGCACTTAAAAGACCAAAGGAATACAAAAAAAGGAACAAAAAGGACATTCAGCGAGACATCATCGTGGCACAATGTCCCAGAAAATGTCCCACCACACACCAACATGTTCACCCCTGCAGAAGTCTGATTTTAAATAAGTGCAGTCTAATGCTTTAATTTTCCATGGAAATCATCTCTTGCGTGCATAAAAGTATTCACGTTATTGGGATCCAGAACATAAATTAACCCTTAGATCAGCCCTCAAAATGGCAATATTGTCCAATTGTAGGGCTTGTGATACAACGCCTAGTCATTTGAAAAAGGAGGATGTTGAAACAATATTCCAGGACAACAAAACCTTTTCCGGGACATATGAACCTTTCTCTCATTTTCCATACGTTTTCTCCGACTGGGAAATTGGTCAACTGGACGCGTGGGAACCCCGTATATTAGGAGTGCAGGATTCCCATTAAGCCGAGTAGCTCACCAAGGAACGGATTGGCTGTATTAAGACTGGTGGGAAACACTGCATGAAGACCCTTACATTTCCTCAAACACTTGAAACATGTTAAAACACCCTGTTTCTGTGGAGATACACAAAAAGGGGCAGAGAGACAGTTGCTAAACTTGTAAAGACACTCATCCTCCAAAGTAGGCTTCAAAGTCAGCAGTAAAATAGTCAACCTCAATATTTTGAGAAGCATTGCGTTAAAAGTAAGCTACGATAGGGCGGAAGAGAGACAATTTCAAGGCCTAATTAATGCAGCACGAATAACACATGTAAAACACTCGGTGGGTTACACAGAGCTGGGTGAAAACAGGCTAGCTTTCCTTTCCATCTCTCCATTATCATACCCTTCATCTGAAAACAGGTGGGGGAGGGGTGTGTCTGCATTGAGCTCAACTTTCAACCCGCCCACATGCAAGACATCCAATAAAACGAGAAGGCTTTGATTCAAATCCCTCTTGTATTCCTCTTTGTATACAAAATTCTTAAACAAATATTTTGTTTCAGTTTGAAATACGAGATGGTAACTTTCTTTTCACTTTGACAAAGGGCCAGAATATTTTGGCAGCCAGAGGGACACAGTCTCCGATTGCATGTGTGGCAAATACAGAACTTGAATTTAGCAGCTCTAAAAACTGTAATACTTCCAGTGGTCCAGAGAACCAATAGAAGCCTGGCCAGCTGTGCTTTATGATCGGTGTATTTACACTAGCATTGCAACAAAGACGTTTTTTTAGATACACATCCACATTGGGTCTGAAAGCGCAACAAGATGGTAGTGAGCCAATCTCTGGCAACATCAGCCTGAACTAGATATACAATAGGTCTGTGATAGTTATGGAAGGAAGTTAGGATCCAATCTAAGTGTCTTTTAGTTTTTTTTGGAGCAAAGGACAAGTTGCAAAATACAGTCTTAAATTAATAACTGCATATTTCAACTGAGCCCCAAAGATGTTAGTTTTGTTAAATACCAAACATTTGGTCTTCCACATACAACATGATCCTAACAAATGCAAACAACTGCAGATGCGCTAGTCTACTGCCTTGTGTACTAACTAAGATGCAACACAAGCCCCAATTGGATGATCCTATCAGTTCCTTCAACCAATCACCACGAGGCTCTGATGCCAAGCAGGAGAGTGTGCAAACAAAAAAAGACAATGGCCGTTGGAAGAAACGGGATACGTCATTTACACAAGGTCCTTGGGTTCATCTTAGCCCCAACATGACCTCCAATAACTACCCGGCGGGATTTTATCCTGATAGAATGCGTGTAGTCGATGTTTATTGCTTATTTCCCCGATTTCATTCCTTCCTACTATGGATGTCGACAATGACATTACCATTTCCGCACAGACATTACCATAATCATTCTCCTGTTAGAACCCAACGGACGATGAATGACGCCATCTGTGATTGTGTCCGTGTGCGCCTGTGCTTCTCAGTAGCTATTGGATTTGCATGATAATGAGTCGTGTTACTTCGACGGTTCCTTCTCCAGGAGCTGGTGGTAATGTGTGTGTGTGTATTCTAAAAGAAACAAAAGCTACTCTAAATTGCAAAATGCCTTAATGGAGTTTCTGTTTGAATAGTTTGGTTGCCAGTTCTAATCTCCCAATATGCTGGAATCACGTGTAGAAATGTTTTCAGGAAAAGCACACAAGCTGCGGTGAAAATATCCCTGCTTTATGAGCCTATTCTTAAGCTTCTTAAAATACCACTTTTATAAATCTCTGTGTACAAACACAAACAGTTTATCTCCCATCATGTATTCGACGCATTGCGTGTTAAGTGGAGTATATCCACATGTTAAAGGTCTGTTGCGCCCTCCACTCCACATTGCGCAATACAATTTAAGACCAAATGATGCAACCGGTCAGCTTTGTCCAAAATAAACTCCTAGTCCATCACACAGTCCCCAGTCCAGGCCGGCACTTGGCCACTGCACACACAAACCACCGCTGTGGTTGGGCTACAAGGACAGTGCCGGTGGGGAGGACAAAAGAATGGCCAGTTGGGTAAGAAAGGCTCACATCCAGCAATATTAATAGACGTTGACAAAAGGCAGATGCATCTCTTGCTAGACCTACACAGCCGGACAGGCCTAGGATGGGCTTCTTTCCGGCGTGGATCCAGAGGGTGTCTAATAATAAACAATATTATAATAATATTTGGTTTAAATGTGTCACAAATCTTGTCTGAAACTAAGCTGAGCAGCAGGTCAGATGATCCACGTATGTGAGGAACAATAAAACAGTATAGTGCACAAAAATTGCCAGACACGGTCAGAGTTGGAATCAAACATTAGCTCAGCGTTTCCTGACCTCTCCGAGACGCGTGAGCTGCCACACGCCAGAGACATTACTCATGGGATAAGCTATATTCAGATCCAACTACCACTAGCAAAACCGATGTCTGGCAGCGCGGGGAATTGTGATCACGAGCACCTCGGTTGTCACCAGGGACGGCAGCACGTCACCTCTGGTTCAAAAGAGCGGAAACATTCATGGAGTCTGGTGAGCGATAAACCCTGCCTGGCTTTTCTCAAAGGCACTTGAGATATCAACCAAAAGAGTGGTAGGCAAGACCGGCAGGCAACCTTAAGACAACACAATCAAACCATAAAGCAAAGTGTCCCTCTGCAGCCTCTCTTATCTTTCTGTTCTACCCTCCAGGCCCCCCATCTTCTATTCTTTCTCACAAGGGTGTCTTGTGGCAGTACATTTACAATAAAGTGGTGATAATCGGTATGGGGGGCGATCGTCAGAATGATTTTTACAATGCAGAATTAGTTTTTTGAGGGTAATTGTTTTAGGCATGGTTTTCCTTTGCATACTTTGAAGTATTAGCACCCAGCAGGGTGTGTTTCAATTCAGGTAAACAGTCCATTTGGGAAGCAGTGAATGCAGAACTCACCGACTATCATCTGACGGTACACTGCCAGCTACACATTGGCGCATCTTAAGTTGCTAATTGGACAAGGAGCCGGCTATGGAGAAGGTCTTGGCCCTGGTTATCTGCTGGCTACACCACAAACTCAGAAATATAGCCCCAGCTCCCTTACAGCTGATGGCTTCTGAGACCGGAATTACCCAGAGTTATCTGCTCCCAGCCAGATCAGTTGGCAAAGAACAATATGAGGTAGAACTACCAAGTAAATATTTATGATGATGGACCAAAATCAATCTTCGTTTTAGTTTGCTGTAAAAATTAAACTGAAGACATGGTGATTACAATGCTTTGTTTTTTTGATCAATTGTGTTGTTTTGAGGCGAGTCACTGAACAAATGCTGGTATAAAACCCCACTACACCGGTTTGATCTGCTGTAGCTTTTAAAACAGTCAAAGAAGTCCATGCAATTTACTAATAATGCTGGTCAATCATTAATAAAGTTGGCAAGAAAGACAGAGACCTTAATGATAGGTTATCTACTTTTTCCCCCCATGCTCTATCCATAAAGGAAATCATAAAAGGCTTTTATATTACTATCATATAGTTATCATTACTTTAATTACTTTGTATACAAGCAGTTTTATTGGCTTTTACAGCAGGTGGGCAAATCAACATACAGTATTATCCAGGCGCGGGGGTTTATGGTTCACATGAAGATTCAAGATTAAACACAAGGCTGAACTTACGCGAGGATTTCCCAAGCACAAGATACATTTTGTAATATGATCCATATTAAATAGGCACATTTAAGGAGTTAGTCATCAAGATATGAATGACTATCACATTTGTGGTGTTGTATCATTATTTATTACAACACTTTAAAATACTATTATATCCGTATAAAATACATCTCAAAAGTAACATTTTTTTCAAAAGTAATTTGGATATTTATTTGGACAATAAGCCAGCTTTCAGGTTTTTGTGAACGCTGAATGAATTCCAAGAAACTTAGGAGCACAACAGGTAAACAAGATTTTAAATGGTGCTTCTGTTTTACAGATCTGGCGACTAAATTAACTCTTCGTCTGAAACATCCTGGTTTGTTAAAAAAGGTGGTGTACTTCTCTCCTGCATTTTTAAGCTCATTGCCGCTCACCCTGGCACATAACCGCCACCTGTAAATCAGTTGGATAGTTCGACAGGGATGTGGGTCAGGTCATGCAAGTGCATACGTGTGTGAAAAGTGACCCGCTCACAAAAAAGCACTACCAAAGGTCAGAATCTCCGCAAGGAAATCCTTTTCTTCATTAGTTTGTATCATTGTATTGTCAGATCAAAGGGGCATGTTTGAAATTGCATTTAAATTGAGTGTCTGGAACCAGAAAATGTTTTGACATGGTTGACTTAAAGATGAATTGAGTGACTAGATGCCTGTATTTCTGACGATGCTTCATCGTTGGACACATTTTGTACATTTCAAAGTAATTTTCTTATTCACAGACAACATGAATGTTAATCTGACTTCTGTTCATAAAGCCTGCGTGGGAGAGATCTCCACCATGCAGCTGCCAAACGCCTCTTTAGCCAACCAGTCAGTGAATAAAACAAGCAGCCTCCCAACACTTCACTGGGACCCGGTCCAATCGATAGGGACTGACGTAAGAGAGGTGTTACATAGTGAGAGACCTGTCCCTCCAAATAACTGAATATCTCTATGTCTTACAATGCCAACATTCACAATTACATACTATATATGAGAATATTGACTATTATTTACTGCCAAATAATGGTCAATTATGTAACCAATTAAATGATGTCTGAAAACAGAAAAGACCATTGACTCGTTACAGATGGCCGCTACCCAAATTCTTTACAATTAATCATATGCACAAGTAGTATATTATTACTATATTTCCCCAAACATAATTTTGGGAAAGCAAAAACAGCATCAACAGTGTGCCACAGGTAGTAATTAAATAATTTGATCAGGCAGCCACATTTAGCTCTTGCGAACTAGCTATTAAATTATTTACTTCCCTGGAGCCCATCACCATGTTTGGACAGGGCAACACTAAGAAGCCAAGGCAGTCACAAGCTTGTTTTGTGGGTGTAGGTCTGGTTTTATCTTATAGTTTAAATAGTGTCCATTGGATGCAGTCGGTACTCCCAAACATGCACAGAATTTGCAGACAAACACAAAGATGGAAACCATCCGCTCTCTCTGCCTCACAAATATTTTCCCTCTGGTGTTGCTCCCTCTCTAGTCATGGTCGTTATGCCTTTTGTAATATGGAATAACTGGAAAGCAAACGGGGAAGCATTTCATTTAGATTCATTTTAGTCCATGGACGTCATCTCTATTGACAGCATGGTTCTTGTTTGTGTTTAGCTACCTTGTCAGACACATCTCTCCCCCTCCTCCTCTCTCCTGTCTTCCTTCCTATTCTCCTTGTCCCGCTCCCTCAAGCAGCCATAACCGTCTCCATCGGTTTTCAGCGCTTTCCTGTTCCAAAAGGCAATTAAACAGTGGAAATGCTTCCATTTAAAAAGAAACCTAGTGGTGGTCTGAACCGACCACCTGCCCCATTCATTGCCACGGATCACTGCACCCTGTAGCAGAGCACAAAAAGACAACTGTAGTAATAACACTGCCTGGCTGTCACGTTCTACACTTGGAAGGGATCCAGACACTCTCCATGCCCGCCCAAAGGAACACACACACACACACACACACACACACACACACAAACACGTACCGTTACCACATGCTCCCCTTCGTTTTGATCATCCATTTAGAATAAAACATCAGCAGAGCAAAGGCAGCAAGGACGTCAAGCCAGAGAGCTCTCTGTTGGGGAAGGTCTGCAGGAGCAGAGACGCTGTCGCACTGGTCCGTTCCCTCTTCCTCTGCTCATCTCTTTATAGAGAGAAAAGAGGAGGAAAGAGAGCGAGAGCGAGACGCTTCTGAACACACGGTGCTCGGCGCTCTCCCCCGTCAGCGCTCTTTACTCAGCGGCCAATCCCACCGTGCCACCATGAATATTTTATTCTACCAGCTGACGGCTTTAAATACGCACCCCTATATACTGAGGACGTACACTCACATTTGGAGGACAGTCATACGCTCACCGGCTGAGGTATTCAGGTCACAAATGAAGACCCCCCACCCCCAACACAGATAAATAGAAACAAGCACACGTGTGAGCTGGGCATTCCTCAGAGGTTGCATTGAATTGTAAAAGGGGAAGAGATCTGCCTATTCATGGAGCCTTCTAATACATCAGTTTCTTTTCATATTCAAATCCTTATCGTAGCCTGAATGTTGCACATGTCTTTCAACAACCTGTAATTTTTCAAAGAACTGTGGCTCATTTGTGTTTTGGTAACAACAAGAAATTTTACACAAGTAGGGGACCACAAACAATTCTTCAAATAGAAAGTGGTTATCTGATGCAGAATCCGTACCCGTCAGCTTTAAGTAAGCACAAAACTACAAAGGCAGAGGGGAAACCAAACCGAAAATGAAGATGGTGACAGATATAAACCGGGCATGTAATGAAACAGAAATAGTGCCATCTGAAGGCTGAACCCTCCACCTCGGGCAAATTTGACTAAACAAGCTGACTGCTTGAGACTGAAAAAAAGAAAAGAGGACCAACTACTGTGCATGTTGCAAATGTTAAAAAAAAGGAAAATGAAAAGCTAATGAACATTGGCATAAGAATTGGGAGCTTTAACATTAAAATGGGGCTCTGACGAAAAGTTGTTTTTGCGATTGATTAAAGTTGGAATTAATTGTAGTATATAAAATATCAAAAAGGTTGTCCATCACAAATTTTCAGAGCTCAGGATAATATCTTAAAATTATTTTTTCCCCAGTTCACTAGTCCCTAGAGACCCTCACTTTGGAGAAGCTGGAAAGATAAATTGTTGACACTTTTAACGTGTGTTTTACAGTGTTTTAATGTAGATCATGTAAGTTGTACAAACGGCGACACCCAAAATAAGCGGCATTACAGTCAGAATGTAACATATCAGTGTGCTGTTGGTACAAAGCTGTATTGCGTGTTACATCTAGGCCACTGGCATGCACCAACGACCACATGTACCAGAGGAGAACAGAAATACAGACCTATAAGTTGTCCAGTAACAAAGCTATAAATATAGCTTTGTTACTGGACAACTGAATGCAATCTATGGAAGAAAAAAAAAAAGAGTAAATAATGTTAGGTGTCCAAATTAGTTCAATATATCCAATCAACAGTAAGGCTGAAAATATAGCCTGCATTGGAGATTCTCCTCTAATGTTTTTGCTCTATAACATATGGTGTTGTCCTAGTATGCACCATGACAATTAGTTCTAGACAGGATTTTATAAAGCCCATATTCAAACCCTGCTTAAGGGCAATCTGAAAAGATTCCGTTTGTGAGAATTTCCATGTAGCTCTAAACACAGCTGACCCAGAGGCTTCTACGAACACTGCTAAGAAGATTAAAAGTCCAAGGTACAAATAAACCGCTGACAGGGTTAATAGTGTAAACTCAAACGCTGAAGACAATCGAACATTGAATTATCAAAAAGGTGAAATTCCTGCTTCTTTGTCGGTCAAATAGCAGATTACTTGACTTGGGCTTCAGCTGTAAACATATCTACCCCTCAAGCCATACAACACGTTCTGCTTCTCCTAAGGTAAAGAGATTAATGATTTTTCTGGCAGGGGGCTGCATGTGCACAGTCCAGTGTTCATCCACAGGAGAGGGGTTTTGGGGTCACGCTTCCATTATATGAACTACACAGATTGATTCAGACCACACCTAGCAGAGTGGAGTTGACATGGTTTGTATGGTTTCCAGTAATTGGATGAACTCACAAATCCTCTGTTCACTTGAAGTACAAAACTATACTACCATCCTGCAGATTAATACAATCTAGTGCCCTCTGACCTCCTTTTCAGTCTCATATTCAACAACCTTACTCATTACTGCAGGCTACTCCGAATCCCCTGGTTAGTGACGGAAACATCGGCAGCGAAAAGGGACACAGCTTCTTTCTAAAGAGCAGCTTAATTATGTAAAGGCATCGAACTTGTGGTCCGTTTAAATTGCATCGTACTTTCAGAAAGTACATCTGGTACAATATAAACCAACAGGCTCTCTGTTGTATACAATAATTGAGAGCTGGGTACGGAAGGAGTTCAGTATCGCATTATCTTAATAGCGTAGCTGAACGGCGAGCGGCACCATCAGACTGACAAAAAAGCACATTATGTGGAATTGCCCATTCAAAGTCATGTAAGCTTAATAAAACACTCACTAACCCCGGCAGTAAGTGCTGAGCCAATAATAGTCCAGCTCATAGAGCCTACACGGGCTGGACTAAAACCCGTCTTTTACTGGTGGAACAGCAGGATGCACAAATCCTCCTCCTACTGGTAAGGCGACAAACGCCTGATCTTAAATCCATGGAGAGATCACACGTCAGTGCTGGTACGACTGCACGCCGGTGTGGTGACTAACTCACAGCAAGAGGGGGCAGGGTTCATAGACCTGCAGTTTAGGTTAACTGAGGACTCTTAAATTTTCCGTAGGTGTGAATGTGAGCGTGAATGGTCGTCTACCTATACGTGTCTGCCACGCGGTAGTCTGGCAACTTGTCTAGGGTGCTCTCTGCCTTGGTGCAATTATCTACTGGGATTGACTCCAGCCCTTCCACGACCCTGGACAGGATAGGTGGTTAAAGATAATTGATGAAAAACAGAGTTGGCAAAAGTGTGCATTTATTAGGTATATTATGATACATGGACAAATCGTGAAGCTCTAAAAGCACCATTGTAATCCTTTGGTTTTCTTTAGGCATCTTTAGCTCCTCAGCCTTTCCGCCTCCATTTCTTTCCGATACAAATCGACTTGGATGGCCCATTACATTGAGGTGCGGCTCCATCTAATCTTTGGCCACTATGATTGCCACTAAGCAGTCATAGGATTAGCCCTGCAAAACAAAAGGCAGGCAGAGACTAATGCAGGTCGCTTAAACACAAAGCCAAAGCCGTCTAAGTAGCCTTCTATAAATGCCACAAACACCCTGAGATGATAATCGGTGGCATCAAGGCAGCGGAACGACATCCACGCAACAACACGCTGTGTCGCGTGTTCCCACGGCCCATCGATAGCACACAAAGCTGTTTTAAATGTAGATGATGACATTGAGGTCAAACTAAAAGCAGTTGCAGTTCAGGGACTTTCTCTCGGTCAATAAGCCCAGATATTACACGGGCTTCTCCGAAACCAGGTTTGAGTGTGTAAAACCAAGTCAAATGTCAGAAGCTTTTCAAAAGGCAATTATAAGGCATCAAGCAGTTGTGTCAAAGGGGCTCTGTGTCACAGTGAATGTGTTGACGTCCGCGGCTGGGGAAGGAGTACGCAACTCCTCTTCAGAGGGCAGCCCGGGGTCGAGTGTCCTGGAGGGGAGAAGGCCCGCACGCAAACATAGTAGTGGAAAACCCGACACCAGCACCGACAGTCAGCGCGCCTTACAGAACAGAGCTCTGAGCCCACTTTCTGTCTTGGGGCTCGCGGGCGCGCGCGCTCGAGGTTCTGCGAGTGACGTTCAGAGCCGCAGGACAGGATGAGAGTCTCTGCTCAGCCGCGGCTTCCCTCTCTGGGCGGACAAGCCGTTCGAAGTAAAAAATTAAAAAAATTAAAAAAACTAGCGGCGTTTCCCGAGATGGAAATGTCCCACGGGAAGGCTCGTCTATTTTGGGCGTATTTGATATGGAAATGAGCCTTTTTATTCATGTAAAACGCAGCTGCCCGGCTAGGACACATAGCACGCAGCGAGGGACGGGTGGACCTGTTGAACGCGAGGAGGCAAATGCTACAAAGCTGGAACAAACGTTACGTTAATTACTCCCACGCGTCACCAAAGCCTTTCAGCTGGCTTTGTGTTCGTTGGGGTGCGCGGGCCAACCGATACGTGCCAAAACAGGGAAGCGACTGACTGAACTAGCGTTAAAGTTATAACGGCACTTAACGGCTTGACTCTGCTCGCGCCCCCTCGGCTACTTCATTAACGCTAGCAGGTGCTATCTGAAAGAGGAAAAAGATAAACTAGTATAGATCAACTTTAAAAAAAAGGGCAGAGAGAGACAACCCGAACGTGTACCCACGCCACGTGTCAGGGAGTAAAAAGCCGGCTAACAATAGCATCCGCCGGATAGAGTCTCAGCGAGTCTGACTCCCGAGCATCACTGCAGCACGTTACTTCTAACGCGGACAAAGAGACGCGCAGATGTAATGGTGGACTAACGGTTAACGGTGTTGGGCGGGCACCTACTGTTCTCAGAAGGGGCCTCATCTGTTCCGACGGTTCGTCCATTTCACTGACAGCCGGTCTTCTGTCCGCTCGCTCTTTTGTTTGTAACGGTTGCCGTAGCGGAAAGTCCCGAGCCGGTAAACAGTAGTGCGTGAACTGCGAGGAGAGGAAACGCTTTCCCTAGCCAAACGGTGACGACACGCCTTCAACATGATTGACAGCAAAGGATGCCAATTCGCGTGGACCACCCGGCGTTCTCAGCCAATCAAAACTAAATACGTAACGATGTGGGCAGGCGCTGTTTCCGCAGGCAGGTTTTTTTTTTTTGTGTGTGTTTTTTTTAACTTCATTAAACTTGCTGGGACGGTGCACTCCCACGGCTGGTTTAAATATAAGTTGTTCAGATGAGAGTTGTGGAAATAAATACGACTTATTCAAGTCTAGAATCTCATGTTTCATGTCTTAAACTAACTGTATATGAACATGATACTTCTCGCAATAATAAGGTATCTTGGGTTTTGATGTTCTTGGCACTACAGTCTAAATGAAGACTAAGAACAAACTATGGAACAAACATATACAGGAACTGATCGATATGTTATATCACACGTTTGTTTTTGTTTTTTTAACTCGAAGGCAAAT